CCTGAACCAGAAGAACTTCCAATGAGGTTGCAAGAACTTCAAGATGCTATAAACAAACTTCCATTGAGACATCCAATTGACGTCAAATTGTATTGGAGAGCATCTGAGTTAGGTCAGAAGGTTTTATATGAAACAGGTTGCTTCGACGATGTTTATGAGATAACAGGAGAAGTTTCTCAGAAGATAAGAGACTCACTTGAATTTCCACAAACTGGACCAATTGGTTGCGACAAGTTCGACTCAGATGAAAAGATATACTATGTCGACCTTAACGCTGCATACATGAGGTTTGTCCAATATATTCCGACTGGAATTCCAAACGAAGATGGTGAGTTCCCGGGAAGGAACTATACAGTTGGAAAAGTCATACAACAACTGTATGATATTAGGAAAGCTTCAAACCCCAAACTTGCAATGACACTCAAATTGCTTATGAATTCGACATGGGGATATTCCATTAAGAAACCTCAAGAGATGAAGAGTAAACATTATGAGAAGGTCGACAACTTTGTTGAAAGGTTTTCTCCTTTTGTTTTGAAGTACGAATTCACTCAAGGTCAAAGTGGCTTAGTAACCACATTAAAACCTATTGTCGAACATTGGTCTTACCCTCAGTTCGCAAAGGCAGTCCTTGACAACTACAACAAATTCTTCTCCGAAGTCAAATCCAAAGTGAAGGTTTACTATGAGAACATTGACGCACTCATGACGAACGAAGAAGGCTATAACAAACTCATTGAAATGGGCATGGTCGGTGAAAAGATGGGTCAATTCAAATTGGACAAAATTTTCACCGAAGTTCATGTCCTCTCCAAGCGTAAGTACTGGGGCATACTTGAAGACGGCACAGAAATAAAACATTGCATGAAATAAAAAATTTTTATTCGAATTTGAATTAAAATGTGGGAATTCTTGGGAACGGGAAAGGCTTATTTACTTGAGGAACAGGTAAAGGTGGTGGAGGTGGAGGTGGTGGCAACCAGTCCATTTTATATTCCTTCCTAGCTAATTTCCGTTTAATTTCATGGTCGCCCTCGGAGTCTTTGAATCGGACAGGTCGAGTTACACCATTCTTGGTCTCAAACTCATATATAACCTGTTTGTCTGTATTTTCGTCGACTATGGCACGAGACACGAACATTGACCAAACGGACAAAAAGTGTCATTTCGGATGGTCACGCAGCCAATCGCATTCGAGCACTTCGAAGAAGCCTTACGTTCCAAGGGAGAGGGTGTCTGGTGCAAGGCAGAGGTCATGAAACTCTACGAGCAGTACATCCTCAATGCCTGGGAGGACAAATCGTCCTTGGATTGGCAATTCTACCAACTCCTCTGGGACGACCTCCTACGCAACTGGGATAACGAAAGAGCCCAATTCAAAGGTCGGGAACTAATTTTGCAAATTACCCTTAATTTAACATACTTATCCAAATAAACACCTAAATTTACTTGGGGTTTCCCCCTAAAATAAAATTTTTTTACTCTTAGAACCACTCGAGGTTCTCCTTACGGTTGTTGAGCTTGTCACCGTCAATGTGTCTGACCCTCGTCTTCTTGCCTGGATTTGGAACCCATTGAATTGCGACAAGCTTGCCCATGGAGATTGAACCGCGATTCCGAAGGTTAAGGTTCAAGTGTCCCAAGTTGTTGAGGACTGGGGTAAGAACCTTGCCTGTCTCTTTGTTGCGGATTTGGTATGGGTAGGGTTGGGAAATTTCGTAAGCGTCATCGGCAACAAGGGTTGCCCAAACTTCCTCTTCTTTGTGTTTCTCTTCTTCCTCTTCTTCCTCTTCTTCCTCTTCTTCCTCTTCTTTGATAATACCTTCGGCAATTCTGTGTTCACGAAGTACGGTGTTGCATGTTCTGTCCTTTCCGAGTACCTTCCAGATGGCGTCTATCTCTTCGAAGAAACGGTAGATGAGTCTGGCAAGGTCTCGGTTCTCTCTCGCGTAAATGTGCAAGGTTTCCGTGAAATCGTTCAGGCATTTCTCATTGGAAGCTTGGTTCGTGAGGACTTCGACTTTGAGATTGGTCATCTCTGTCATAAGACTACTTTGGAGAGTCTTAATGGTGTTTGTCAGATGAGCTTTCAATTGGGCAATTTGAATTTGAACTGGGCGCTTGTCTGGCAACCTTGAAAGGACATCTGCTATTGTGTTCGGCTTCGGTGCTTGTTCGGACATCGAAAAAATGAAGTGGTTTGAGAATGACGGTTTTACTTCAAAAAGCTTGTTATGACAGTTATGTCATACAACAAGTTTAAAATAATATCTTGTTCTTCTTCTGAACGTTTGTTGTCTCTTCCGATAAAAGTTTGAACATGAGAACCAAAAAACGTTTTTTGAGATTGCGGAAGAGTTCAGGCAAACGTTCATATTCCGGATATGTTGGGAGCAGTTCGAAACATCTGAGCTGACTTTCGGACAAAATTGGGACAATGTCAGAAAATTCATCTTTGGTCGGACTGCTTGAAGGTAAGTCCCTTACATGTAAGTAGCTCTGGTAAAGTCTTCTCATTTCTGCTAACTTTTGGAGTATAGCTTCGTAGTTTAGAAGTTTTAATTTTAATTGTCTTATTCCACTCTTGACATCTAAACGGTAACTATCCATGAGGTCAAGAGTAGCTTTGGTAGCTTTAAGTGGAGCTATCTGTTCCTTGACTTGTGCAATTTTGGTTGCAATTGTGGTTTGAGCTCCTTCAAGTTCGCCGTCTATGTCGTTCTCAACACCTTCAACATGGCTTGAAACTCTTCATCGGTCCATTGAGATTGGTGTGGGACGAATTTAACTTGCTTCATTCAAAAAATGAAAAAAAATGTTTTTACTCAAACGTTATATAGGTTTACGAGTGTATATATGGGTTGGATGTCGCCTTCAAGGTTATGTAGAACGGCTGACCAGAGAAGTGAAGGAGAGACTGAATTGCCAATTTCATATGGGGTAGGGGGTTCTCCTTGTTTGGTATTTTTATCCAAGGACGTTTGTTTAGGAACTTAACAAGAGCTTCTCTTTTGGCGTCCTTTATGCCATCGAAAGGAGTGTTTTCTGGTATTTGAATTGGAATTCCAGTCGAAGTCTCGAGCTGAAGTGTAGACCTTCCAGAAATACTGGTGAACTTGACCTTGGGCTTCATTACCTTGCGCAAGTAGTCTTTTACGCAGTCGTTAATTTCAATTAGGTAAATTGCCTCGTCAAATCCTTCTGGCATTCCGAGTCCTTCCATCCGACAGGAAAATATTTTCCGGACAAAGGGAAAAATTTTTCCCGACGACAGGAAGAACTCTTCCAGTTGTCCGTCCGTAAACCATTCAAATTTTCGAAAATTGAGAACTTTTTGGTCGAACTTCAGGAAAATATTTTCCTTCCGACAGAAAAAATTTTTCCTTCCGACAGGAAAATATTTTCCATCCGACAGGACACAAACGAATGTCCGACGTACCACCAACCGAGCCCATTCCCAAACCAGAGGAACCTAAAGCACCAGCCCCTGCACCTCAGTTCCAGCAAGTACCTCCGATTTACTACCAATTTCCACCTCAAGGTTACTACCCACCACAAGGCTTCCCGAACTACCCTCCTCAGCCTATGCCTTACTTCCCCAACCCTTGGATGTTTATGCAAAACCCTGCCCCACAATTCCAATCTCAATCCAAGAGAGACCAAGAGTTCGAGGAAGGTCTGAACCGCTTACGCAAAGAGTATGCTACTACCCCAATGGAAGAAGACAGGCTCTCACTCTCTTCCCTCAAATCGACCGATTCGACTCGTACCACAGATTCGGTTCGTGACCGTGAAGACTACCTCAAGCAGTCTGAGAGACTCTTCATCCTACAACCATTTACAGTTGGAGCTCTCAAGAACATGCGCAATTACGAAGGTCAGACACCAGCTGGAGACCGCAAAACAGACGTACTCGCAAGAGCCGTCCAGCTCGTCAAAACAAAGACTGAGATAGTCGACTTCATTCTTGCAGCTTGCCCATACAAGTAAAAAAAATAAACAATTACGAGTTAAACTTTTTATTCTTTCTTTTCTGAGTTGTTTAGAGCTGGTTTCTCTTGTAGAAACCTTTCGTACTCTTCCATGGTCATGCAATTGCGAATTTGGTACGCAATTCCAGGTTCGTTGTTTTTGAACCTTATGTATGTAACGCTTCCATCCTCCTCAGGGAAGTAAGCTGCTAACATCTGACCAAGTTTTCTCGGTGACTCGGAGCTCATTAAAAATGTCACTTTTTAAACGTTAAGTTTTTAGTCTTATTTTACCCTTGTTTACCCTTTGTTTGTCAAGGTAGTATTGGAGTGCAATTTCTCCAAATTCTCTGTGTCGGAGTTCTTCAGCATTTTCCAAGGTGTACCTGGAGAACTCAAAGAAGTTGTCAAGAAGATACTGCCATGCTGCTCTTCTGAGTTCGTCGGTATTTTGGAAGTGTTGCACCTTCGAGTCTTCGGACATGAAAAAAATGACACTTTTTCAGCAAAAATAATGTTTAGGTGAAGAGGTGAGATCTCACCTGTTTTTTCACCTCTTTTTTCACCTCTTGAATTTTCATGAATTTTCCCGAAATAAAAAATAAAGTTAGTTTTATTTTATTTATTTTTTTATTTTGTATAAAAAAATAAAATGTCAACAATCGGCACAACAACAATTCAAACAACAGCACCAAACTCTTTAGTTATGAATCCAACATCTATGTTAGTAGAGATGAAAAGCTTCATTCCTTCTTCATATACTTTCGAAACAGAAATCCAGAAGATAAAGCAAGAACTTTTAACATGTAATTTAGACTGTTGTGCGAAAGATGAAGAAAATGAACAGTATCTTTATGAAATGCAGGACATTATTGACCATTTACCCAAATTGCCTGAAATTCAGCAGCAAAAACTAACTATTCCTGAATTCGATGAAATAGAAGTCAAGCAACTGAACTCAGTAGAAATAAAGAAGTTCATACGGAGGTAAACTATGAGTTTCTAGGATTTCATTGCAACCATAAAGTTATGGACAAAGATTGCGACATGGTATATAAGAACATCTCTGACATATATAAATCTGGGGAGTTTAAGACCTACGACAACTTTGTTTCGTTAGTTGCTGAATGTGTATGGCAGATAAGAGATAAAGATAGAAGAGGCAAAGTATGGAACAAACAAATAAGACCCGCTATGTTTGAGATGAAGAGAGCAATTGACGCTTTAGTTGTTTTAGCTGGTAAGGTTTCAGAATATAACGCAAAAATGAACCCGCAATGTTCTAAATGTAAAGCAGCAATGAGGAGATATAACTACTCCGTCAAAGAGATAGAAAGAATGAGAAACGACTATGCAGATTTAAAGAAAGAAGCAGAAAAACCAGCAGAAGATAAAATGGACATGTTAGAATTTCTGAACAAAAACTATCCAACAGCAGAAGATTTCCTTCTATCTGACGTCAAGAAGAAATATAAAGAAACCTTCGGTATTGTTAAAACTTTTGACATACTGACAGAAGAAATAGAAGCTACGAAATTGTTCAGGATTTCAAATATACATCGTACAATTCATGTAAAACGCTTGTGAAAAAACAGGTGAAAAAACAGGTGAGAAAACGGGTGAGATCTCACCTCTTCACCTAAACATTATTTTTGCTGAAAAATGACCAAATTTCATGAATTTCCTCATATGCTTGCTTCCCTCGGAAAACCGAGAGAAGAGATTCCGTATGAAAACAGTGAAGAACAGCGAGTACGTAAAAAAACGTAGTCGCCTAAAACTCATGAAAATCATGAAAAATAACAGAGTATTTTGACAACTTTTTCTATTAAACCGTTTTGACATTTCTCATGAGTGAGTATAGTTCTGCCGAACCATTGGAAGAGAAGAAGTACCCTTGCTGGCAAAAGACAAAAATAGTTGCCTTAGTTGTCATTGCAACTGTACTCGTAATTGAATTCATTGTACTTCTCTTCACGTACATAAAACTCAGCAATGGTATTTGCTTTAAGAAGCTACCATCTTACTAAGACTAAACACTTAGATTTTTCAAGCTTGACTTTTTACAATTTGAACTTTGTTTGCGTAGATATGAATTCTGAAAGAAGTATGAGGGTCTTGTATGACTTTGTACTTCTCCCATAGTTCATGTCTGTCAAACTTACCTGCCATGGACTCTTTCATAAGTTCCATGAAATCGTCTTCGGACAATCCGGGGAAAAGTATAATGTCAGTAAGTATTCTCTTTACATCCTTACTTAAACTCTTTGCTGTCTGTACACATATTACGACTGAGATGTTAAAGTGTCTGAGCTTCTTAAGAATTCGACACATATCTTGTTCTCTGTTCTTTAACAAAGGATGAGAAGCAAAGTCATCTAAGATAAGAAGACATCTATGAGGGTAAGTCTTCCAATCGTAAGATTGCAATTTCTTCGAAATGTATTCTATCTCTTTCTGTTTGTTTCTGAAGTGTTTCTTCTCTAATATTCTCTGCATTTCCTCATTTGGGTCTTTAAACTTAGAATTTATATACTCATTTATAGCATTATACTTCAAAACTCTTCTTTGGTACTTCTTTATCCAATCCAACAACTCAGAGTCTTTTATACATACTAACTTAGACTTCTTTATAATATCTTTGAACGAATTGACGGTTTGGTCAAATTGACCAGAAGTACTACAAATAACAACTAACTCATAGAATGGGTTCTTCTCATCTAGTTCTTGTTGTTGTGCAGCCATTTTAAGATAAGTGAAAGTCTTACCCGACCCAGGTGGTGCAATTAGACCTGTTATACCATTCTGAGCAAATAAGAACTTGTCATGTATAGGCTTTATCTGAGCATTTTCTAACTTCCTCTTGTTCTTGTTTAAAACATTCTCAAATTTCTTGTCAATGTCAGCAAACTTTTTTTCTAACATATTTTTAGAAAAATTAAAATTTTTATCTTTTAGAAAATGTCTAGCGATTTCGCTATCTATATTCGAGACAAGCTTTTCGACAGCAAAACATCTGTCGACCATAAAATCTTACATAGTGTAAACAAGAAAGGTGAATTTGTTCTAAAGTTCTGTTTCTGGGAATATGACAAGAACCATAAAACATTAAGCAGAGCAGTCTTAAAATTTGTCAATGACAGACTTGTTGACAGAGATGACGCCTCTTGGAAAGATGAAGTCCAACAAAACTTCTTAGAATGCAAAGAAGACACATGCGCTGTTCTTGAAGATGAAATAGAAAACAGAATAGAAGAGCTATTAAAGGACAAAGAACTTTTACATAAATATGGTTCGGAGAAATTTGACATAACTCCACCAGAGAAGAAGAAGAGAGAAAAGAAAGAAAAGAAAGAAAAGAAAGTAGAAGAAGAGAAGAAAGAACCTGAACCAGTTCCAGAGAAAAAGAAATTTGACATGTAAAAATAAAATTTTATTTTTAGAACATTTCTGGGTCAATGTCAATGTTCTCTTCCTCTTTGGGCAAACACTGGCTTAGACTCTAAAATCTTTTTACCCAATTTACCTTGAACTTCAACTATCTTAGACTCATAATATTCATAGTCGTCTGCTTTCTTTGGTTCATAAGGTATAACAAGTTTGTATGCTTTACCTTCTTCGAGTTTTGAGAACTTTCTGTCAAAATTTTCTTTGACTGTCAACAACCTTCTATGTCTAAGTCTTCAAAAGTTGCACCACTTTTTCTAACAACAGCAAACTTAACTGGGCAATGTTCCAAATTTTGTCAAATGTAGACTTTTCAAAATTGTAGAAGTAAACATTCAAATATGCGAATGGAGCTAACTTATCTTTGACTTCTGTCATGTACTTATTTACTGAGATGAATTTGCCATCTTTTCTATCGGATAAAAAAAATTTTTTTTTAAATTTACTCAGAAAAATTTTTCTTTGTATATACACCATTCTGAACATCTAAAAGACTTTTGACATTTGCCAAGAATGTTCGTTTAGAAGCTGCCATATAACCATATTCTTGACAATATTGTTTATACGAATCGTACAATGACCTTTCATCTAAACACTCAAAGTCAGTTTCATCTATGAACAGTTCATATACACTCTTGTTTGCTTCTAACAATGTTTGTCTCTCTTCGGTATGTGGAATTTGTCTTGGATTGAACTTGAAATATCTAATGTCAAAATATGAGAACAAGTGGTTGTAAAAGTCAGATGTCAAAGTTTCTGCTAAGTCGTCAAAATATTCTGTATCTTGCATATGAGAATCTGACGTTCTGACAACTACATATCTTCTGTCAGAACTTTCTAACTTCATCGGAACACATTGTTTGAAACCATAATGAAGTTTGCAACATTTTCACAAACTCTTTGGTCTTTATACTTTCTTTCAACAACTCCAACTTTGTCTGTTATAAGACTCTTCAAAGCATCTGAGTTCAAAACTTTTGTTGTATCTATACTTTGAAGTTCATTGCAAACTATAAGTTTCATATTCTCTATTGAGGAGTTAAACTTGCCACAGATGTTTTCTAAGTTTGTCATATTAGGTTCGAATAACCTTCTAACAGTTTGCATAAGACATCTGTAAAGAATGTGTTCTTACCAGTTCCTTGTTTTCCAATTATAATGAGAGCAGTTTCATTTTTAGCACTTGGATGTTGTAAGATGTTTGCAAACCAACATAAGATATACTCATAGACTCTTTCGTTTCCATTGCATATAATTTCTTTGACATGGTCTAACCAAGCTTCTATAATATTTTCTTTCCATTCTACTTGTTCGTATTTATATCCAGTGAAGATAGAATAGAAGTTTGGAGAAGGTGTATAGAACTTTATACCTCGAACTGAAAAATCTTCTAACTTTGACAATAAGATATCCCAAGCATCTAACATCTTCATGCCAACTTGTACGACTTTTATTTTCTTAAGTTTCTGTCTACATTCTTGTTCAGACACTATTGTCGCTTTAGGTTTGTTAAAGACAACATCCCATTCTTTCATGACATAACATTCTGGGGCAGAGTCGACATAAATGACTAAACGTTTCAAATTCTCGACTGCTTTGTTATAGTCTCGAAATGGACACATATTTCTGAATGCTTGGAAGTCATAAAAATCTGAAACATCTATTCTGTACATTTTTATAAAAATAAAAAAAAATATTTTTTTTTATTCTTGACTTTGTTGTTCCATTTGTTGCATTTGTTGTTCTTGAGCTATTTGTTGTTGAAGTTGTTCTTGTAATACAATACTTTCACCAGTTGCATCTTCCAATTCGAAACTTTCTGCCGTCATTGACAAATACATAGGACATAAAAGTTTTACAGGAACAAAGTTTGCGTCAACTAATGTCAACGTTATACTTGCCAAAGTGTTTGAGTTCACTAAGGTTGAAAATTCTGCATTCGAATGAACAATAGGCAAACCAGCAGAGAAAGTATTGTTTATACGCATAAGTATCTTTTGGTCATAATAGTTTCTGTCGACATTCGAATAACACTTTGAACCTAAGTTTGAAACAATATATAAATAGGTGTACTTAAAGTCAATGGAACAGACACCTTGTATGACACCTTTTCCTGTTATAGGAAACTGTTGGTAGTAAAAACCAGAAATAAGTTTTGTATTATAGCTCATATCGTTTATAGTAAACTCAGTCGGACATCCAAACATAATGAAACCTGCTCTAGTTGCAGCACATGTTACACCCGTCCTTAAAGTATTAAATAAGTCAACAAAACCTGTTGGTGGTATATCTGAGTAAGTATCTTCAAAGGAGTATTTTTTACCATTCACAACAATAAAGTCTTCTGGTGTCAAAAGAGCAAAACAGGCTTTAGTCGTCATTGTGTTTAAAGTTAGTTTACAATATCGTCCTTGAGGACTTTGTAAGTTTGTTGTTATAGAATTATATGACTCAGGGTTTTTAGTCGTAATAGTATAAACCATTATATCTTCTGCCATTATATATATTTAAAAGTTTTTCTGAAAGTGGAGAAGAACTTCATCTAAACTTTCACATGGCGTTTCTTGAAGTTCTCTGTCTAAGAAGTTCAAATATTTTGTAAAGACATAGAACTTTCCTTTGTCTACACGAACAAACAAAACAGGGTCTTTCATATCGTTCAAAAGTGTGTAAAGTCCTTTACATGAAATAAAGTCTATATTATTTTTCTTCAAACATCTTTCAAGAAGTTTTGACATTTACTTAGCAAATAAATTTTAATGAAATGTTGTGGTCGTCAAATATTTTTATGACGTCTGGGAAACTATACTTTAAGTTCAACGTTTCACCTCCTTTCATAACGTATATCTTGTCAATGACATTATATGAAACACCACAGCAACTAATGTCGGGTTCTATTTCTTTGATGTTTATATCGTCTGCCTCTGTCAAAAGTTTCAATAGTTCTTTCAAGACTTCATGAGGTGCAATGACATATGAGTTCACTTTTACAGGGTTGTGTTCGACCAAGTTTAACATTATACTTAAAGCTTGACAAATCTTCTCCTGAGTTTTGAAGTTTGTCTTTCAGTTGTTGGTAGTCGTTTCGAATATCTGCAACAGAACTTAAGTCTCTGCTAACTTCAGGATATGTTGGTTGTTCTTTTACAGGAACAATTGTTATACCATCTTCGTCTTCGTATGGTTTCCCCACTTCAACATCTCTGTCTTTGACATTGACAACAACACTTTGACTGTTTGTTTGAGTTGGTGAATTTAACTTCACATCTGCCACCGCCATTAAACCTTTTGAAACACTCCGCTTCTATTTTTCGGAAATGACATTTTACTTAGAATAAAAAGATGGACGTATTCGAGTATCTCTTCGAATTGAAGCAGAACAAAGTTTACACACACAAACAATACAAATACATTGACAGAATAGTTCTTTATACAAACAATGGTAAATGTTATAGAATAGCAATATTTTGCTGAACCAAAATATTTTCCATAAAGCAAAGAAAGTTGGTATAACTGAAATGGTGAAAGTTCTTGACGTTGACAAAAAATATAAACAACAAAACTTACAGATATTTCTAAAGGTAAGTTTATCTTACAATATTATGTCAAAACTGGCGTACTGTCAATATTTGACGGAGAGAAGTCAGTTCAAGAACAACTTACTGACCTGCTGCCAAAATCTGCTCGATGGAAGCTGTCGTTATGCCAATCTGAGGAGCCCCAGCAGGTTTCATCGAACGAATCTTCAAAAGAGCATCTTCCGTGAAAAGTGCTATTGGTTTTGTAAACTTCTTTGCTCTCAGTTCATCTGGACCGTCTCTGTCACCAGTATATTGTATTTGTACAGTACCAACAGTTTGAAATACCACCCATAAAGTCTTCTGAGTCAGCAAATGGAATGCCAAGCCAAAAGTTTGAACGGTCTCCATTTGTATATTGAGTTTTTTTGACCTCCTGTATGAGTCCATACTTTCACATATGGCATAATAGAACTTTGCATTTCAGGGTTAATGGTTGTTGTGAAGTTGTTGTTAAAGTTCATAGCATCTAATGTCAAGTTGTATGACCTCATATCTTCAACTGTAGAATATTCTTCTCTTGGATAATATTTG